AGAACGTAGCAAGAATGTATTAACATAACAATGATATGATTTTTTTTTTTTAGTTATGTCGATTGTGTATTTCATTGTTTTGCTAGAGGAAATGGTTTAAATGGTTTACATTGATAAATAATTGGTTTATTTCTTACTGTGTTGGTACTTTTAAAAATTTAACTTATGGAAAATCCGTTACTTATAGCTCGTTCTTGTTGGCAAAATAATAAATTGATTATTGTTTTAATATATTTAATATAATTTACTACTATTTATAATATGTATTTTGTTTATGATATTCAATACAAAAATATACAGTTCTTAGAAGAATTTTTAACTATCATTTTGTAAACAGGAACAATTTAAGGAAAGTATAACTATATATAAGCAGTTTCCAATAGGTTTATAAAAATTACTTTTGTTTTTATTTATTCTTTTGAAATATATTTAAATTATAGTTGAAATTATCATCTATTACATTTCAACTAAATTAAAAATATTTCGAAATCATCAAATTTTTACTGTTGTAATTACATACAACACAAAATACATAAATACTATTGTATTTATTTTAAATTGATAATGTTAGATTTATTTTAATAAAAAATAAAATATTGGTCTATAAGACTTTTGAATTTAATACAAGATTATTTAAACTTAATACTTATAAAATATCTCGAAATTATTAAATTTAGTGAATGATTTTAAATTATTCATTAATATAAGCTATAATAATTGTATAACCAAACATTTTGATAACACATGGCAGCTGTTTAGTACACTAGTGTCAGTAGTAGATAAAAACTTCACAATATTATGTTGTATCCCTTAGCTGTTGTCCAAGCAACCATTGATATTGTTAGACACATCAGTATCTATTTTGCCTACCCAAGAGCCGTGATATATTGTTCGATTATTATGAAAAAATTTTATTGAATTATTGAAGTTGTAATAGTACTACGAATACCTAATATAAATATTGATTTCTTACGATTTTAAATTTCTACCTATTAAGGTTAATATTAGAAAGCACATTTTTTCCTATTGTGGAGATTTTTCCTATTTTTTTATGAATTAATATGTTTAGTTTAAATTTGTGTAGTAATTATTTTCTTTAAAATATGTTTAGTTCTTAATATTTATCATTATTACATACTATATTCTATAACATTTTAAAATATGTTCGAATATTTTCATCTCTAATTTGATTCAATTTCAAAATTATTTAAAAAATATTTATTCGTATAAATATGGCAAAAAAATTGATTTAGAAATTAGTCCATATTTCTGATACAGTAGCAATATAATTCTAAATACTATTTAAAAATAATCTAATCAGATAATGTTGTGACTTTCAAGTATCAAGCAATAACTTCTGACCAACTTTTACTTTTACTATTGAAATGAAATGTTTAGGGAGAGCATGCGTAATAGAGTGTTTGATCGATCAACAGGCGATCAGCTTCGATCGAGTAACTGTTACGGCTATCGGTACTTCAACGCATGACTATCCGAGAATTTAGTTTTAAAAAAAAGAATATTCGAGGTATATATTATTGTTATAACCACGGATGTTGATATCTCTTAATAAGTAGAAATTAAATAATGTATTTGGTAATTTTTAATTCTGGTATTAAAGCACTATTTGATTTTGATCAGAATCGGCCAAACATATTTTATTGGGTTACATATGTACGACCAAGAACTGGAGAAAAGATATCATAATTATTCAACACACTTTCCTTCAGTTGTACCAAAATAACAATTCACTATTTTAAACTGCTATTAATATTTAAAGTTGACGGTTATTGTTTTGGCATAAATCTGTATTTTTAAAAATAAAGTTATAAAAAAATATATTTTGCCAATAATAGTCTACAAAATCAATTATTATTTGTCCTTAACGAGTTCAAAACTGACTGACATAAATGAGTGCGTATGTGTCTTTAATTTCGTTTTCATTTGTCATCCACTTAATTTTTTCTCAGAAAATTAAATGTTTAAGTAACCGGCGGTTATATTTCTCACATGTTATGATGCCTGTCGACCGATCAATTATTAAAACTAATAATGATTTGTATTAAAGTTGATATAGGGGTATTTTTCCTTGCTCCCTTATAGTTCTCCGCCACTGAATAAATAATAACCTTTTCGATTCGTCCATGTTCTTCAAGTTTGATTTATAATTAAAACCCTTTATGTGCCTTCACCATAGGGTAGGTTTGCATAATCATACACATTTTTATTGTTCAAAAAATAATTTTCCGTTTATGTCTTGGACAATTCTTATTTTTATTTATTTATTTATTTTTTTTTTTTTTGAATATAATTTGTGTTTGGAATAATTCACGGACGCAGTTTTGTTAGAATTTTTAGTAATATTATGATATTTTGTATACTTTGTATTCTCTGTTCTATTCAGTTATTATACTCGTATGATTTTGGTTGGTTAACGATATTCCTTATTGAAAAAGAATTAAAAATTAAATTTACAATATAGCAGCACGACACGTCCATTTTTAACGTTCGCCACAAAGTTTGCTAATAAATTATTATTATTATTATGATTGTATATCGAGGACATATTAATGGTATTATATTATTATATTGTCCGCTCAAATGGTTTATGGACATCATAAAAATTCTTTGGCCTTACGTGCCAACACATCATGATTAACCCTTATCCGCTTTAAATGACATTTGGATCGTGTGTATGTGCATGTGAGAGTATTTGGATAAAGGCCAGGCCGATGGCATTACCCATAAGAGAACTTGCGAATTTAGGAAATGTTTACCTCGTGGGGTGATTCATCGGGGCAGTTTATTATACAATCCCCTTGCTCGTAAATATATTTGAAAAATGATTTTCAATAAGTCATCAGACAACTTAAAACTGTGAGATGAGTAAATAATAATCGGATGTTCAATAGCGTTTTGTCACTAGTCATCGTGAGTGTCAAATATTTATTTGTATCCAGTAGTGTTGCATCCATTGCACGTCAAAGTTAAAAGTATACATGTATATATATAATATATATATATATATATGTACATATAATATATATACATAGTCTTATAATTCGTATTCGCATCATGGAATTTTAAATTAGAAAATTATTTTAATTTTTTTTTAATCATTTTTACTTTTGAAAGGGACTTATTTTTTATATATCACGTATTACATTTACTGTTAAAATGTTTCGATATCAGTTTTGAGATTTATAAATTAGTTTATATATCATAAATCACAACCTCGCAACTTTTATTGAATTTTAAACAAACTTTTTATCCCTTTATTCATTGCTTTAATAATATAACTATATATGAACTTGGAATATGTAAATTTTTACAAAACCGCGTATTAAAATACTGTAAATATAATACATAGCAAATTTTATGTTCCTTTATTCTTTTTGCATTTATTTCATCGCACAGAAACGATAAATTATAAAAAAAAAATTTAAACTAATATTATCTGATGCATTTATTGAATTGAAAGAAAATGTGTAGTGTTCAAAATATTTTGAACTTTGTTTTCATTTTTGTTATTTAACCTACGAATAAATTTAAAATATATCGGATGTTTTTATTATTTTTTGGTTGAAATACAGAAAGCATCAGTCATACGTATTATTACATATTGCAAATATATTGTGTATGATATTTTATATAAAAAATAAACCTCATTATAAATAGCTTAAAAACCATAAAACTATGCATATAGTTGAATTAATATTTTTCATTTTATTTCAATTGTAAATTTAAAAAATTAACAAATATTATACTATTTATATTATTATTGAAAGATCAATTATTAAAAATGTGACGTTAAACTGCCAAACCGTGTTAAATTTTAGAATTTTTCAAAATCCCAAAAATTATTAATTATAATAATCAAAATCTTTCTTGTTACACTTAAAATATTAGATTTTGATTTTGAAAGTTTAATTTAATATTTTTGGGTTAAAGTCTCATGTTTCAATATCATATTTATGTATAAGTATTTGAATTATACCTTATTATTTCTACCTTATTATGGCAGTATAAATAAAATATAATAACAATATTTTACTTTTCAAATTGATTTAGGGTTTACATTGTATAACTGCTGACTTTCGAGTTAAAACGTATTGTTCTTTATAAACAAAGTATAGAAACTATGTTTATAAGTGCATCTTTTGGAATAGAATAAATATTTAAATTGTTGATTTTACAAATAAGCATCGTATGTATTATTATACTTCCATATGATCGTAATTTAGTCTTGAATAAAAATCGTTTTTATTATTATTATTAAAATTATTGTTTTTTTTTTTATTAACTTATTTTGCTTTAAAAGTAACTAGACACGAATCGTTTTACCAGATATAGTCTTTTTTTTTTTTTAAACCAGAGTTAGGTGTTAAACAAAAGAACACGACCGAAAGGGAAATACGTACGAAGAATATAATTTATATATGTACCTATGCATAAAGGTTGAGGCGTATACGGTACGCTCTTATTCGCCATGTGTTGTTTCATGTATAATTACACACACACACACATTTACGGTGGTCTAATTAGTCATATATTATACGTGACAGCAGATTACAATGAACATAATAATACGATCGGTGGTCGTAAAAATGGCTTGTCGTCGTCCCCATTACGTTATATATATATATATAGTCTAGCCTAAATGTATTATATCGTTTTTGCTATGTAGTGTATCATGTACACGCATTATCATAATATACTACCCACGTTCTGTATAATTATATATACACATAGAACAGCGATCGTGCGCGTATAAAATTTTTAAAAAATTTTCTTCGCTCTTTCTATCATCGTAAATTTATAATAATTATGCGTTTTAAAAACGTATCGTTACTGTTGTAGCGTGTGCAAGAAAATATAAAAAAAACCTCCGTTTATCTATCATTGTTATTATTATTGAACGATATCTCAACCCAGTGAACTTCGAAATCGACGTGATAGCATATTCTATAATGTAGTTACACGACGGTCGTTCGTTTCAGTGGTACTCTGTGGACGAATCGGACCTGGACGACGACGTGTGTTCGAAGTTCGTGCAGATGCATCTGGACGCGGACACCGAACGATTCCTGGACGATTCGACGGAGCAGAGCGACAGACTGCTGATGCAGATGTGGCAATCGTTCGTTTCGGTTTTGCTGAATACGTTTATGACGAAAACTTCGATTAACGGGTAAGAGGGATTATTATTCTTCTTCCGCGAACAACGATTGAGTAACAGCTGCAATACGGTTACGGTGACGATGACGATACGATCGGAATGTCTCTTGTACACCTACCCGATGAAATCCATATAAATTCATACCCGATATAATATGGTATTTGCGTGCCGTATTCACACAATAATTTTATACGAAACGTATTACACGCGTCGTCGTCGCTCGTCCACACACCCCATTGGCCGGTACGCGACCGCCGTCCGATTGGTCGGAAATAAATATTTTTCATTCGATTTTTTTTCTCCTTTTTTTTTCGTCTTTTCTCCGTCCGCGCGTAATTAAGCTCGACCGCCGCAACCGGTCCGTCGTCGTCGCGGTCTCGTTGTCTCATGCATATTGCATGTCGCGTACACGCCCGTCAACCCGACCGCGCTCGGCAGCACGTCGTCAACATGCCCCGGTCGGGCCGCATAAGAAAACCCGCGCGTCGTCGCTCCGACAAAAACGCATCCGTGGGATATGTTGTGTACGGTTTTTTTTTCTCTTCATATTCTTTCGTTATTCTTCTTTCGGTTTTTTCCCTCTCATTTCCTCCACCACCACGTCGTCGTCGTCGTCATCGTCGTCATCCAACGTCCTGGCAAAAATTCTAATCCGGTTTTACCGCTGCTATCCGATTGCTGCTCGCGCGCTGGGTAGTTATATACGTTTATATAGTATCAAGAGTACACCTCCGTCATTCGTCAGCTTTGGCGGCTGCGGTAAATAATAATATTATACAATACGACGCGAAAAACACTTTTTTTATCCTTCATCCCTCTCTCTCTCTCTCTCTCTCTCTATCCGTGTGTATCTATCTTTGGACGTAAGACGTAACGTTTTATGACGTGTGCGTACCGGCATTGTCAAACTGATACGAGTCTTACGTTTTCATTACATGTACATATAAATGTTTGTCTAATCTTCGTGATACGCTCGACACCGGTACATATATTGTGTAATGAATATGGTTAATTAATGTACCAATTTATCCATGGACGTATGTACGTTCTGTTGTTTCGACGCCTTTAATGTTATGCCGGATCCACAGATGTCCAGGAAAAATAAACAAAACATAAATTCTACTTTTCCCAACACTAACTGGTCAATTTATATAGTTTTTAAAAACAGAAACCAAACTTGCAGTGTGAACCCATTATATTTTATAGGTATCTACATAGTCATTATAATCGTATATTGTTCAATGTAAAAAAAAAAAAAACGAAAACGCTTAAATTCTTATTGAGTGTGTTCTTGATTTTTAAGTTTCGATTTTATCTACTACGTAGGGTTAATAATAGTTTTTTTTTTTTTTAATCGTAGGTACAATATATCTAGGTATATGTTTTCTTCTTACCGACGTTAAAATAATCTTTAATCATAAAAATGACCACAACGAATAAAGTTTTAAAAGATTGCTTCGCTCAATTACTTATTACTTATAACTGATTCCACTCTTCGGCAGGGGTAGACTAGAATTTATAAATTATTTGTTACTGTATTATATTTAAAACTTCAAACATTGAATTTGAAAGCATTATACTTATTTTATGAAATTGACTATGTCTGTTTAAATTTTAATGCAATCGTATTAAATTATTATATACTATAATACAATATGTAAAAGCTATTTATCTCGATAATCATAATAAAAAAATTATCAGACGAATGATAATAAAACTATAAATACAACAAATTATGAAATAAATTATATAATAAGGTAATTTATAGCAGCTTAGGTTTATCAAATAAAAAGTATTATGAAAATAATTAAAATCCTTATGGATAATTTGAACCATTCCTTTTTTTTTATTTCCATAAATGAATTAATAAAAGGAGAGTACAATATTAAATGAGTATGTATTTAGTGCTCTTGGCAAAATTATGTGTGCATAATTAATCGTAGGTGCGAGTGTTACTATAGTAATAAATACGTTTATATTCCTTTTTTCTATAATCGATGATTTCTTACGTTTGTCTGTATATCAACCTAAGCTAATACAATATAGTTAAACAATATAATTATCGACACGTTATGTTTATGAGAGAATAAAGCACTCTACAAATGCCGTTTATATGACGTATTCTAGTAAAAATTATTATTTTGTCGATTATTATTATTTTTTCGCCATCGACGGCTATCAATTTTGATTCCGTATTGTTACATTAAAAATTTCAAATGAACAGCTTCTTTGTTGATTTTCATGATTTATTATTGCAGTCCAAAATGGATTCAAAGAGCTTGAGGCGGCGTCATCTGTGGACGCGTGTGGTGTGCGTGTACTTAGCATGTAGTGTGCGGGACGGGGTTAAATACTGTATTCGACTTGACGTACGGATGAGTTTGACTCTTATAACTACCGTTATTCGCTCACCCTGCCGCCTCGTATCAAAAATGACTCTCATCTTACCGCCCCAGTTGCCCTCATCGCCTTTAAGCATATATTTAAGCTGCCAGGGATTTTTATATAATGCGCCGAGATATTGTTTGGCATCGATTTCCGTTTATTACTATGTACATTTTAACAATTTACATGTACACGTTTATGTGTATTATACTGTTACTCGTATTATAATACATTATACTTGTATACACGGTGGTTTTTTTAAGCATGCTCGCCTCTTTTTTATGCTTAAACTGTGCATGGTTCTAAACTTCGATTTATGCAGTGTATATACACTATAGTAACGTATTTTCCAAAACATAGATTTTTCTACGAGGAGTTTCCTGTGGCAATATTAATTTTATTTATCGAACGAAAATAACGTTTTTATTTCGCACACAATTTTTAAAGAATTTTTTTATATAATCTAATCACAATTTGGACCCGTATTTTGGAATTCTTCAAATTTTAAATTGCGTACGAAAATGGTAAAATAATAAAAATATTTATTAAAACAAATAGCCTGATGCATTACACATATTTTTTCCATAAATCAAAATTTAAACAAATACATAATTTAAGCTTAAAAAGGGATAAACATGTTTAAAAAAAAAACACTCTGTATAGTGCACTGTTATCGTCGCATAAATAGGTACTATACCAACATATATATATAATAAGTTTAGCTGTACATATAAACTGTGTAAGGGGTACACGTATACAAAAACACCCCCGCGAGCGGATTCGAACGGACGGATGGGCAGCATGTTCTTATACAATGCACGCGCGCGTGTGGGTAAGACGGTACGTATTAAAATCGTTGGCGTCGGAGGGCCGCGGGGGCGCTCGGGTAATCTCACTAATGATATTTTGATTACGCGCCCACGGTGGTACCGCCGCCGCCGTTTCAGGGATAAATATTCACATTTTCACTGTGTAGTGTACATAAAAGGATGTAAGGGTAAGGTGTGCTGTATACAGCACGCATTACTGTGTAGACGTGTATGGATATATAGAGAGATATACACGGCGAGTGTAGACGAACAACCTGGAGATAATCTTAGGATAGATATACGCGTATACAAAAATGAAATAATAGAAAAACGGTTCTTTTCTTTTATTTTATTTTTTTTCTCTTGTATACTTAAACCCTCGACCTTAGGGCTCGTTTCATTTTTTTTTTTTTTTTTATTAATTTCATTTTTGGTTTTCGCCGCTACTTCCCCGAAGGCTACAAACGCATTTTATACGTCTGTATAAAACTGTACCTCATCGGTGTATATATTACATGTATACACGGCGGTTTATGAATTTCTATCGCACGCAACTTTTCACGAAAACGATTATTATTTAACGCTGTAGTATAATACCGTCTGCTCATATTCTTTTTATTTATTTATTCTTATTTTACGTTAAATTTGTCTAATATAAGTTCCCACCGGAAATCGACGTCCAACCGTACCATTGGTATTGGAGAGAAATAATTATAGAATCTATACATATAACATTTGTTATTACCGCGGTCGAAGTGTGAGAAAATGCGGTCGACATCAGTTAAACAGCAGTATTAAATTCAATTACTCGTCATCCTTGATGTGGTATTTTAATCGTACACGGGCTTTACTTATATAATTGTATACCATTATATTAAAACGTTCTACGTAAATAGTTTTGAATAATTATTTTTCAGCCAAATATTTTTAGTTTTGGTTCATCGGTTGATATTTCAATCTTAAATAATTTTATAGTGACGAGACTACTAATCAACCAAAGGTTTTTGTTCTTAAGACCAATGACTGATAATAATAAAAAAAATGCAATGTAATGAATAATCATTTACAAAAGTATAATAACACTTCCCTATACAATCTTCTTAATTTTTGTTCTTAAACTTTTTTTTCATGATTATTTTTTATTTTTTTTTTTTTTGCTTACAAGCTTTATTTGTTATGAGATCTGCACTTATAATATTGTTATAACTCTACAATTTAAATTCATCTTTATATTTCTAAATAATGTTTTTTATTATAATAATAAACAGTATATCGTAAACGCCGATCAAATCGTACACAAATACACAACTTGAATTAAGTTAATACTAAATAAAATGCATGTGTTTCCTATGGTGATCGAGTCACACGACTACCACAGAGGACCTCCTTTTGTTGGTTTGTCTTCTTTATACATTTAGCTTAACATAATTATACATATTATTGCTTACACGCTAATTCGAACAGAGTATAACAAAAATGTTGTTTTACAATTTTCTTTTTATAAACTAAAATGTTATGATAACCTATTTTCTATCGCGACATAAATATACGTTTATTTCCTTTGTCTTGAATTATGAATTTGAACTGCCTAATACAACAAGTATTAAGCAGAATATAATTATCAAATACTACTATACATTTCATTTTTAGGCGATTGGGTACGACACCATTTGTTTTGTACGAAACTTTAAGTCTTCTTATTTTCACCATATACCAATCGCTGAAAGTCTTAATTTAAATATAATTTAGTGTTAGTCAGTAAACACAACTATGGAACACTTTATATTTATTGTTTTCGAACGACAAGAGCTATTATAT